AAACATTTAAAGGTAGGGTAGGTAAGTTTGAGAAACCAGCTCGAGATCGCTAGAATTTGAAAATACACAGCCGGAAAAAATCTGCCACTTCCTTAAAGAGCCCCTCCTCCAACACACACGAACGCGCACATGACCAATGAGGGCACGAGATAAGTCTGTGCACAGATGGAAGGCTGACAGGCAGGTAGGCCATCCAGTTATTTTAGCCGGGCCGGCTAAAATGATTGGTCGTGCTTTTTACAGTACTACGGCTTCCACAGATGACATTTTTTTATGGATTTTTTGTCAAAGCACTTAAGATATTCATTGCTATCGGGATGTTAAGAGCATTCCATGGAATATAACAAAAAGTGTATCTCGAGCCGGTTTCTCAAACTTACCTACCCCACCTTTAACATAGTGTGTGAATTCTCTGAACTGATACAGTGTTTTGACACCATACAACTTTACTTACAGAATGTTTTCTGTCCTGCTAGATGCGACTGAAATCTCAAATGTGTTATGTCTTTTGTGTGTTTAACATTTCAAAGTTTGGGGTTATTCTCATACTTTTAGAGTAAAGTTATTCTGCTTTAAAAAAAAGAAATTAATTTTACCATGATACTAAAGATACATTTATCATTTTGGAAAACTGTTAAAGATAAACATTATTACAGTTTTGTACATCTGAAAACAGCCATTTAGAATTTAAAGACACACTGATTTTACTTGTGATACTGTACAATTTTCCTCATCATACCCTGTAATCTGTCTGAGGCAGGTGGGACTACAATGGGCTTCTATAGGCAAACAAAGCAGGAAGACCCATCATTGAAAATCATTTAAATCAAAATGGCCTGGAATAAGGTTCAACAGCAAGTGATAGTAGCCTTATCGCGAAAAGGCTGCAACATTGTGTGTTAAAGTGACATTATAGTTTTAAAAAAATAAAGAAATAATAACTGCACCTAAGATGCACATAAGATGAAAGGAAATGAGCCTTCAGTCACCAAGTGATATAAAGAAGTGAGAGGGAGAGAGAGGGTTTGGCTTTGTTAAAAGTTTGGAGCAGCAGAGGCTCAGAGACTTACAAGTAGAAACACGTGGACAAGGCCAGGCAGATGCAACGTGTTGCTGGCTACAGCTCAGAGGCTTGCTCGGGAATGCACAGTTCTGGCCTTTTTAGTTACTGTGCAAGCACTGCCTGATCTTAATGCTGCATGTAAATCTATTGGTGCATAAGAAGTCTCCTCGAAACTTTGAGGTTTACTGCCGATTACCCTCTCATAAGTATTTGGTCATGAATGCTTCTCCCAGGTGGGGCTGTCAGGTTTCATTGTAGAAAACAGTAACTCTATTCTCAATAAGAGGACAAAGGTTGTGAACATTTTGCAGCAATGACTGTAAAGGCACCTTTCCCCAGATCCCATTATATCTCATGCTCACATACAAGCTGCATAGAGAGAAACCAGCAAAATGTCATTGTAAACAAGAATACTGTCAACAAAGATCTTCTGATGCTGCCAAATAAAACTGAATTTGTAGTCTGCAAAGCTTGCTGGTTCCACTTCATTATTTATGAACAGTTTATTTTCTTGCACAAATAATTTTCTAGAAATTACCCAAACTGGTGATGCCAAACATTGTGGATTATTTCTCTTAAGTAAAGAAACCTGAAAGTTATTGATGTGTTTTTGCTCAAATATGCAAAATATCTTGCAGTCAGAAAACATGTAGCTTCAAGCTAAAGTGGTCTGATATTTGAATGCAACTGAAAAGCTTTAAACTCCTTCTGAGCGCTTCCACCCAAACCACCAGTCTGAACTCTGAGAGACTCGCCACAAAAAAATATATTATAGATTGCAGCAGCTCCAAACACCAGAAAATTACCAGTTCTATTTAAACACTGTCCTGTGAGCTTCGGCTTGATTTCAGTCATGGAAAGTCACTGAGTAAGTACTGCTCAAAAGACTGATTCATCTTGTGATCAAAGATTTATTTTAACTGCACAAGAGAATAAAACCAAAAGTTATTTTATTGTGTGAGGAAAGGTTGTTTTTTTTAGGTTAAAATCACAGAGACACAGCACAGGCACAAGTCTTATCACACAGTTTCCTCTTAGACAAACAACAGGACCCTGTGAAACAGGACTTCCCTATTTTCATATACTTCAAAACACTAGGAAACCTGTGATAACTCTATAACTTTAACAACCCTTTTTACCGTTTCATAGCTCTTTTTCTTATCCAAAGTCACTGAAATGGGTGTGTCTTATTTGAAGGTGCACTTGTGGCAGTTTAAATCACTTTATTGCTGCATTGTGCATGTACTGCAAATCATGGCTTAAAAGAATCTCTTTCACTGCATCACTGCAACAGCCATCATTGCCACACATTTATCAAACAATTGCCAAATTAAGACATCCATCAGGGTTCTTCTTTTCAATTAAAAGTCACAAAAATACATAAAAAGCCTTACATTTGAAAGGAAGTAAGAAGAAACTGTTTGACAAAAATCTCTTATAATTAAAATAATAAGTTGTTGCTCCAGCAGTGTGATATTTTAATTTTCCAATATCAGAAATGATTAGCATCCCCATGCTCAGAAAAGGTACTGTTCTTTCAGGCTACACAAGTGCATTGTTTGCATGTACTATAACAGCAGAAAATAGATAGAACATAAGGAAAGAGTCACTGAAATGGACATGGACAGCTGTCAGTCTGTTTGGCAGGTGTTTGAAGAGACAATCAGCTTTTTATAAGAAAAGGAACAGATGTAAAATAAAACCTGTTTGCAAACAAAGTAAATAACCAGACAAAAATCCCCAGCAAACTATTCATTTTCCCTAATTGAAGAATAAAGCCTCTATTTGGATGAACAAATGTTTGAAAAATAATTCATGGATTATAAGAATTGCACCAATAGTTTTTGGAATTAGTTTTATGTATACGTTTTGTGATATTTTGTGGAGCTTTTCTTTCATTTAGTAATAATTTGGGAAACCTCCTTCCACTCATTGTTAGTATAGTGATGATTCATACTAGCTAACACGAAGCTAGTATGTAGCGAGTAGCCTACCTTGTATAATTGTGTTTTTTTTTTTTTTTTAAAGGGTTATCTATCAAAAATAATATATATAATGGTTGTATATTTTCTTCCAGATAGTTCACGCTTTGTCTTGTTATTTAGTTATGACTATTTGTATAAATGTTCTGTTGGTTTTTGATTCTTAATTTAACCTGCTAGCACGAAGTATCCTAGCTTGCAAATAGCTAAGAAATGTTACAATAAACATCAGAGTTAGTTTTGAAGATTCTTTAGGATATTCTAGGAAGATTTACAATCATAAGTCTTGGTTGTTTGGGAAAACTTGATTCTTCCTATTTCTATTTCCAAAATGACCTACTAGACAATTATGTAGCATTGTAAGCTGTAGCATGTAGCTAGTAGACAATTGTACCTAGGCCTACTACTTTTGTTGTTTTTTTTCCCATTGTATCTCTACTTTTTCTCAAAATTGTTTCAGATTTGTGTTGTTTGATTGTTATGGCCCTTTCATACATATTCAGTTATCTTGTCAATGATCCAGTTTGTACGAAACAGCCTAGCTAACACACTGTATTTCCATTTTTTGACAAATCACAGGACAGTCATGGGGCCGTACATTAATTTCAAGATATTGTAAATTCATGATCACGGGTAGAGTTCAAACTGTAATATTGCTATACACCCTTTGTTTTCTCTTACTCAAAATGGATACGATGTCATTTCAGAACAATCCCCTGAACCTTACCAACAAAGAAATGGCTATTCTACAATTGGATTATTTCCACTACTGGATCATAAGCCTAACATGCTTTTTTGCTCTCGATAAATGTCTGCTACTGTGAACAAGACAGTTTGAATGTCACAAAAGAAGAAGACAATAGCAGATAGCAATTGAAAGGTCAAACTGGGCCATACTGTAGTTGTAGAAGCTGCAACGTGTCCACAGTTCAACCAGACTGCTTTGTGGATCTGCCACATTTTCTTCTCTCCCTCCTCCCTCCCTTTCTCAACCATCATGGGTTGGAACTTGGCCATGCCTCTTTTGGAAATGGTGGATTTTGGTGGACAGGTTGTTGTACATAATCTGGATTACTGTTTACTTTTTTTAAAACTAAAATGGAAACCCCTATTTTAGTAGACTTAATAACATTTGTTTGAAAAATGGTAGAGAAAGGGTTGGGATGCATAATGAGTTCATTTTAATTTCATGCTTTTTCTTTAAATAAATAAAAAACTGGGTACAATGTGTGCATGTGTACATTTGCAACGTTGTGCAGTTCCTTGCAGGTGCTTGATAATGTTCATACCTATAACAACACAACTAAGACTCGCAAGAATCTTTAAGGGAATACATCTCCTAAAATATTATACAGAGAAAATAGTTAGTTAGTTAGTTAGTTAGTTGGTTAGATACATCTTCAAATGAACTTGGTTATGTTAAGATCTGCATCAGGTTTGCACTTCGTGCGTAAATTGCGCACTTAAGACATCATTCGAATCCTATTAATTCTTCTGTAAATAAAGTGAGCCCTTGCCATCTTAAAAGATGGACATTTAAAGCAAAAATATTGCTGTACAACTGAAAATCGATCCAGTCTTCAGCTGCCTAGCATATCCGTAATACATTGAGGCCCTAATGAAGTGTAAACTGCAAAACCATCCAGTGTCCAGACAATAAAGTCAGCTCAGCGACACAATGTCTCAGCCGAAAAGACAAAACACCCCAAACAAAAGCCTCAATTAGGAAAGTCCACGAAGAAGCAGGAGATGATGAAAACACGTCTGAACGGCGGTGAGCCGGCGCGTAAATGGTGAGTGTCCTGATCATCCACGTTTTAGCTGAAACGTGAACTTGTTTGACATGTTTTAAGACGGCCCCTCTCTCTGATGAAGGAGGGACTCTTGACTTGAACATGTACAAGTTATCTGGTGGCCCAGGACCTCCCCAAAAGTTGCTGGCATATAAAAGCCAAGCTAACTCATTTGTTTAGGCAGTAGGGAGTTTCTGCTAGGGTCTGGATTGGAGTTACACGCACGGACCCTACCTTGTATGAGTGGTGTCTGAGGAGAAAAAAAGGATTCCCCCTCTATCTCAAAGAATCTACATGTCTAATATTTAGACATGTTCAGCTTTGTGGATATTCGGTTAGCGCTGTTGCTGAGCGCAACAGTGCTTTTGGCGAGAGGACAAGGCGAGGATGATAGTGAGTATCACTTTCCAACATTGATTTGAGTTGTGTTGTGACTGTGGCACCCGGAGGGATGTGGAGAGCCCGCAAGGATGCTTGAACTGAACGCCCTCTGAGTAATACCCAACTCCAGTGTGCAGAGATTGTGAAAGTTGTTACACAGTGAGGCGCGCTTTGGGGAGATTTGGAACTTTTATATAACTTTTCTTTTATTGATTGCTGCTCTCGCTGACGTGCAGATACATGCTCGCTTATTTGTTGGAGCGCAAAACCTTAGAGGATCAGCTGCATTATCTCTGATGCGCAATGACAGGACATAACGTTCAAAGAGAGTTGAAGAAGAGCAGAAGCTTCATCAATTACAAAAATGGCATATACATTTGAGGGAATCTTAAATTGCATTTAGTTTGTAAAGTAGTTTAAGAAAAAAAATGCATCCCAGTTCACAGAGATCTGCCAAAGTATGTAGATTCTACCACTTGGATCATTTGTTGTAGTTTTAACATCAAGCATTAAAAGTGAGTAGATAACGTTTAATTGGAAACCAAACCTGGTAGAGACTTTTTTGCTGTTTGAAGGTTAACCTTTTGCACTACTGCTCCATAACAGAGTCCCACTGAAATAAATAACATGTTTTTCCAAGTTCTTTCACAAAAATGGTTTGGTTCGTTGAAAAAAAGGACAATGGAAAAAATTGCCTCATTCTGACGTGGACAGTGAAAAAAAGTCTAGACGTCAATTAATCACCAATGCAGGGGCAGGGTGCGGAAGATCTGGTTTTGTAGTTAAACAGCGCCACTCAGTGGCGAACAGTGGAACTGTGCATCCATCCTCCAAACCTCGGTCCTCCACCTCCAAGGCCCAACCACATCCAACAGCCTGAAATGTGATTAGGCAAAATGTAGCTTTCCACTCAGTATTTGAGGAGAAAATCTTGTGCTGAATCTGATCAGTAATGTTTGAAAGCACTTTAGCAACATTGGTTTTAATGCAACACTAAGGCCTGTATTCTTACTTTTACAAGGCCCAAAACCACTTAAACTTCAGTGCTGTTATACTCATTAAGAAGCTATATTTATGCTCTCAAATCAATCACTGGACACCACATTTTCTTTCTGTTTACCTCATTAAAAGCCTTTTCCTATGACTTAACAGAGGATTAATCTTGCAAAAATGACACATGTTGAATAATGGAATACACATTTTTTACAGAGTTGCTGTAAGGAAAGGCCAGAGCTTTAAGTTACAGTCTCCAATTAAAAAACCAATACCGGTCAGCATGGCTAAACAATTATTATCCCATATCATTATAACTATAATAATATGATGTTTGAAGGCAGGCTCTGGTGTCTGATACAACCCTTTTGGGGCACATCTGTCTGCCATATAATCCACGACTGTGCAGGTGTAGCCAAGGCGCAAATAAATCTTACTAGTACATTGTGCACATCTCAGTTTACCAATGCCATACTTAATTTGGGAAATGTATTGGACACAATTTTGCTTACTTTGTCTCTTGTATAATCTTACCAAACTCACTGTGGCCTTCTCCCTTCAGGCTCATTTGGCAGCTGCAAATTAGAAGGACAGTTGTACAACGACAAGGATGTATGGAAACCAGAGCCCTGCCAGATCTGCGTCTGTGACAGTGGCAACGTCATGTGCGACGAGGTGATCTGTGAGGACACATCCGAGTGCGCCGATCCCATCATCCCTGATGGAGAGTGCTGCCCCATCTGCCCCGATGGTACTTCACCTTCATCCTCCTCAACAATTTATTTGGTTAATTTGCTTTTTGGCGCCACCTAGTGCCTCCCTCCTCATCTCTGCCAACTGCTGGAAATGAGGCCCTAAGCCTGCCTGCTCTTTTTTTGAGGATTTTGATTCAGAAAAGAATCGCTTTGGATTTTACCTTTTGTGCATTTAATTTGCAATATGTATTCCTTTAACGGTGGATTTTACCTGCTCTGTCGAGAAATCTGGCAATGTAAATGTAATTTACATTCACGCCTTGCTGTGCAGTGTCACTGCAGGATGAATCAAAGGTCAAATCACCTGAAACAACATTTAAATCTCCCACCAGAGAGCATATCTTGAATCAAATGCTTTTGTTTCAGTGATTTTATCAAATGCTGTATTCATGCTGTCCAGCCTGGACCTTAAACATTTACAATATTTTGGGAATGTTAAAAGGTTTGAGTGTATCTCTTTTGAATATTCAAGAGCTGTTGACATTTTTATTTTTCTCTGTTGGTTCTGTAGATACCGAGGAGCCAACTCCACCTGAGGTATTTGTCCCTTTAACTTTTTATTTAAAAAATATGTCATTATAGTCTCAGACCCATATTTCACATTGGCATCTGTTTGGAGATGCTGGCATTGGTCAGTTTAGCTTGTCATTTGTGTTCTAGATGCTCTTGTTCTTTACAGCCTGGATGAAACATTGCAGCATAGCCTAATTCCCCTTTCTCTATTTCCACAGACAGGAAGAGTTGGTCCCAATGGAGACGCGGTAGGTTCTATTTCACTCCCACATTGCAAAACACACCTGTGTTTTCTAGAGTTGCTTATATTTCACAGATTGACAAACTGATTTTGCACAAGAAAACATAGTCATAATTGATATTCTTGATTATGATTGTTAGATGAATTTGACTCAATCTGAATGGATCTGTTTCCTTGTTGTTTAGGTAATTGTGTTGTATTATATTGGCTTATTCAGTACAAATCATGCATCATTGCTGCATGTGGATGATAAGGTTGATCAATCACTTAAATGTTAAAATAAACACACATTATAATATATGTTTTCTCACTGATTCCCAACAAACAAATAGCTGTTAAAGTTTTCTATGACGTAATTGCCAGTGATGACCTTTAATAAATAGGTCACAAGGTCAACAGGTCATCAGAAGTTGAAAGGTCACACAACAGAAACTGCATTGAGTTGTATTAAATAATGGAAATAGTAATTATTTTTATTGCATACAACTACAACATAGTAAAATAAACATAAACACATTTAAAACCTTTTTGATGGATGATTGAAAATCGGAATTTTATTTTCAAGGTAACAGCGAAACGATTATCGTTATCTGAAAATTAGACTTAACAGATATTTTAACAAATCACAAGATTGACATTATAGAATGTGCAACAGTTTTAATTCTCAATATAGATAATTATTTCTTAGAAATGACAGATCTATTTTGGTTGGTCTATGAAATAAATAATTTTCTCCTAGGCAGGTTGATAATTAATTACATTTAAGCAAAAGGATAATAAAGATGATTGCTTACTGACTGTGACTCCCTCTCTTTCTACAGGGTCCAGTTGGTCATCCTGGCAACGATGGACTTGATGGACAGCCTGGTCTTCCCGGCCCTCCCGGCCCCCCTGGCCCCCCTGGCCTTGGCGGAGTAAGTGTCTCCATGTCACAACAGCTAGGAAGTCTCAGATTGCGTTTTAAAGATGACTCGATTCTGTTTACAAATGAGATACCGTTTAAAACATACTCATGTAGTCTATCGGTTTCTCTCCAAAGCTCTCCTTTTCATGCTGTGATCCGTTATTTCTGTATGAGTTCCACCAATGATTTTTAATCAGCAGGGATGTCTATGTGCTTGAAAGCAACATCTCCTCCATGTTTGTTTCAGCACAGGGAGTGCAGACAGCTCCTTGATCCTAAGGTTTAAATGGACAATGACTTGTGTAGAACTCACCACTTTAGCGTTAATACCATTTTTTAAATGTTAAAATGCACCTGCTATAGGATCAAAATGTGTTTTCTCTGATAAATCCATACTCGTCTGCTAAAATAGGAATATTTATAGTGCATGTGATTCAAAGTAACTTTTCCGGTGTGACGTTTTTGTGCTACATTACTTCCAAAGCTCACAGACTAATTTCTCTCCTTCTCTTCTCCCCTTACAGAACTTTTCTCCTCAGATGAGCTACGTTGACCACTCCAAATCCAGCGGCGGCCCACCTGTCCCTGGCCCAATGGTATGAAGGCTCTTTTTCAATGGACTTCCCTAAATCTAATCGAATCTCCTTTTTGGACAAAATATTTAAAATAATCTAATGACATTTTATCTCATCTTTATCAACAGGGTCCTATGGGTGCTCGTGGTCCTGCTGGATCCCCTGGATCCTCTGTAAGTGTTCCTTTATCAGTTCAGATGATCATTTTGACAATATACTTCCTAATATTGCATTATCTCTAGGCATTAACCTGGCTTATTACTAGCATTCAGTTTTTCTCAGATCAGATATGTGACACTGCATCTAAGATGAATATGTAAACCTGATTTAAAGAAGACGTTTGGTTAATGATGTTGTTTTTGTTGTCCTCCAGGGTCCTCAGGGTTTCAATGGTCACTCCGGAGAGCCCGGTGAGCCCGGAGCTTCTGTGAGTACACAAAATGTCATACAAATATAATCCTCTTGATTTGAACTCTGTCTCCTTTAATGGTGCACAACACATTTCATCAGTTTTAAGCTGAATGGGGTGACCCAGAAATCAGCAGGACCGTTTATAAATGACACGTATCATAGATTCCCTTAACATGTTACTTCCTGTGTTCCACTTCCTGTTGTATTCACTGACCCACTGACACACATTTGCACACATCAATTTTCCTCGGCGAAAAGTCCTCCCTCAGCCCTTCTTCTTTCTCCTTAATGACATAAAGAATATTTATACACTCACTTGAAATAGTTAGCATTTATTTGGTGCTAATCCAGTCATTCCTTGTGGTTTTCAGGGTGCAATGGGTCCTCGTGGTCCCGCCGGACCCCTTGGAAAGAATGGAGATGATGTAAGTGATTTAGTGATTTCTAAATCCCTTTCTTTTGTGCAGTTATATTCAGGTATAACCAAATGAAAGACATATAACTGGTTCTTGTCACTTGTCATTTTGCTATATGTCAAAAATACAACTTTGTCATTTATTAATGTCGAAAAGAGACCTTCATAGACAATTAGAGATGATACATCCACACAATGATGAGCTCTAACCTGCTTTCGCTAATTCTTCAACAGGGTGAGCCCGGCAAAGCTGGTCGCCCCGGTGAGCGTGGAGCCGCTGGCCCTCAGGTGAGCAGAGAGAAATGAACACTCCATTAGCATTATATTTAAGTTATCCTCCATGTTACAGTTGCATGTTGTTTCTAAAACGTACCTTTGAACATATCTCTTGTTTTTCCTCTTCCAGGGTGCTCGTGGATTCCCCGGAACCCCCGGACTCCCCGGCATCAAGGGACACAGAGTGAGTTTGGAAGGACATTAAAACCAAATAAATATAAAACATAAAAATTGGAATAAGTCACAATAAGAGTGACTAACCCTGATTGATGTTGTGTGCAGGGATTCAGCGGTCTGGATGGAGCTAAGGGAGACGCTGGACCCGCTGGCCCCAAGGTGAGAGAGCAGGACCTGCAGAAACTCACTTCAGCTTAGGACATTTTATCATAAATTAAAACACAAGATACAATTATCTCATTGCTCATTCTTCCTTCTGTATTTGTCTACAGGGAGAGGGTGGTTTAGCTGGTGAGAACGGTATCGCCGGCGCCATGGTAAGTTTTTTTCTCATGTCAATCAATGTATAGACAAATACATCACTTTCATCTGTTTCATATGTACAGAAAATAGTTAAATTGTCATGCTAATGTTGTTGTTTTTTGTCTTTTCTAGGGCGCTCGTGGTCTTCCTGGTGAGAGAGGTCGCCCTGGAGCTCCTGGCCCATCTGTAAGCAACGCTATCCCGGTCATGCTGTTATAGTATTTGATACACAATTTGAATAACTTAGATCTAATCTCCTCCTTCTTCCCCCTCTTCTACAGGGTGCTCGTGGTAACGATGGCAACAATGGCGGTGCTGGTCCCCCTGTAAGTATTATTTGTAATTCTACTTGGAAAGGTCATGTCACCCATGTAAAACTTTGTGGTGACATCACAGCCAAGTGCTATATTGAAGGTTGTCATGCACTCCTCTGTAATAATCACTCCATCAAATTAACAGTCTTTGTGTCTTTGTTTTTCAGGGACCTACCGGACCTGCTGGTTCTCCTGGTTTCCCCGGTGGTGCTGGTGCTAAGGTAAAAGAATACATTTTTTATACATAATAAGATTGACCTTAAACACAGGCAGTCTCGTAGACCTGCTAGGTGTAAGGCCCTTGGAGTAGCTTTAACTTTAAAATAGCAGCTATTGCTAGGTCCTTCAGGCAGGGACACTATTTACCCCATCATCCCCTCATCTCAGCTGTTTCAATAATCCCTTATCTCTATTAGTAGGAAAACAATGGACATTAAAAACCTGTATGGATTACGCACTGTCTCCCCACTTGTGCTGTAAAATATGTTAGTTTCTGGTGTTTATTAAATGCTAATTCCACATGTAAACAAACAATTATACTCTCCATTCTACATCCATTACCAAGCTGGGTCATGGATGATTAAAACATGTGGCCTCATACTCGATAGGCCAGGTGAACGCTGTAGCCACCAGATGGCATCAGTAGCTCGCTAATGGCTGCATAGCTCTTCCCTGTTGCCATCAGTGAAGGAGCTATTACAATATCCTGCAAATGACACCTATTGTGAAGTCACACACACACACACACACCTGGGTTATTTTCAGAATTCACTTGGCTATGACAAAAGAAGATTCAAAGCACTCTGTTGACACATGCAATACACCAATCTCAGATTAGTGTGGCACCTTTTTATACTTTGCTTAAAATTTAAAAAAGAACTGTATTATTTTGAAGGTATGGCACACTTATGGCTGACATCCACCAAGGCCATGCATACTGTCTATTGAAGGTTTATTATAGTAAAACATAGGTTGCGTATATACCCTATGATTCCGAAATACTCCAAAATATTTCGGGTTCCTCCATTAATCAATCTACATGCTTTCTTGAAAATTGAACTGGTGGTTTTTCCATAATTCTGCTTATAAACAAACTAACAAACTGAAACACCACTTCTTTGGCGGAGGTAATTATTTCCAACTAGGGTAAACAAACTAGAACAATAGACCATTTTATAGGCTTTTTACTTCATTTAACTAACTCTATATGTAATCAAAGGTATATTTAATCCAAACTATTATGTTGTTGGCAAGCCAAGATGGATTACTTGTTTATGATTTACAATTGATTAATTAGGAGACTTACAATATTCGAGATGCAGACTTCTGAGACATTGTTGCTCTCCTCCATAGGGAGAGACTGGCCCTGCTGGAGGTCGTGGAAATGAGGGACCCCAGGGAGCCCGTGGTGAGGCTGGTAACCCCGGACCTTCTGGACCCGCTGGAGCTGCTGTGAGTGGATAAACTGGACTTTCATTTACACAATATCCAATAAAAGTACAGCCAAATCAGTGCTTAACACGTTTGATCTCTTTCGACAGGGTTCCGCCGGATCTGATGGTTCCGCTGGTGCTAAGGGTTCTCCTGTAAGTATCATACTCACCAGTCACATTCATGCTGCTTGTATCCTGCACATCGAATGTTCTGACACCCCTTATCTTTGATCCCTAGGGTGCTGGTGGTATCGCTGGTGCTCCTGGTTTCCCCGGCTCTCGTGGTCCTGCTGGATCTCAGGGTGCTCTCGGTGCCCCCGGTCCCAAGGGTAACAACGTGAGTAGACGATTGATTGTGTGAACTTTGGTATCAACACACACTTACGGGCCACAATATTCTTAATAAGACATTTCTCTGACTTAAAATGTGTGTGTTTCTTCCAACAGGGTGACCACGGTCTTTCTGGTGCTAAGGGAGAGCCTGGTTCCAAGGGAGAGTCTGTAAGTTCCCAAATACACACCATTAATAAACCATTCAGGGCGATTATTAGAAAATAAGTGTATCTAATGGGCTTACTTTCTTTTCCAGGGCCCCGCTGGAGTTCAGGGACTTCCTGGCGCCTCTGGTGAGGATGGCAAGAAAGGAGGACGTGGAGAGCCCGGTGGTGCTGGAGCCCGTGGACCCAATGGAGAGCGCGTATGTTACTTCCTCTTACACATAAACCTCTGTAGTGGCATCAAGGAGAGAAACACACTTTCTAACGTATCCATTTGCCATTGTATGATAATGCACTCATGTTAGTGAAGCAACAATACAAACCTGTTATCAGTGTTTTTAGAATGCCTTCTTTATGTTTTACAGTATGTTAAATTCCCAGGGGGATTCACCCCAGAAGTTTGAGCATTTACACCACGGTAACTGACGTGTTCGATGTGTCTGTTTGCTCCTTAGGGTGGCCCTGGTGCTCGCGGTTTCCCTGGTGCTGATGGAGGTGCTGGTGGCAAGGTGAGTCCCACAAAATAATTCCTCAAAAATGTCAGGAATACGTTTGACAAACTTGGTTCTGGCTTAACTTGCTTATCACTGACATAAGCGCAGATTTATTTGTATTAGTTGTTGACTCATTATGCTCGTAAACAAACATTTTATTCCATGACTAATGTAAGACGATGACAAAACAGCAAAACTATAATCAAACACTAACAGTGGTAAAAAAAAAAAGCGGACTAAAATGTAAAAAAAAAACTATACCTATACTGATGTATCTTATTTTTCTTCAATGCAGCAATTCAGTTAAAGTTTGAATAGTATACAAAATCAAATGCCTTGACAGTTATCCAACTAACACTATGACTGAATCAGTAAACTGGAGATAACTTAGCTCACAAACTCATGACTCTTCCCCATCTGTATTACAGGGAGGCCCCGGTGAGCGTGGTCCCAATGGCCCAGCTGGAGGTCAGGGAGCCACCGGTGAGTCTGGTATCTCCGGTGCTGGTGGCGCACCTGGATCCAAGGTGAGTTCTGCCAAATGTTCCTTCAGGTGTAACATTTCTGTTAGGATCTCTGTAAGGAGACACACTACAGGCAAGAAAAAGAAGTAACTTATTGTCATCACTATTTAAATTCTCCAGAAGATTAGTCATATTACGACAACTATTGCAAGTAGTAGTATTGCAATGAAGCATTATCTAATATCAAATCTTGATGAATATACCCAACCCAAATAGACTTGAGGGTTTTAAAACATCATTTTGCCTGTAGTGTCTCGCATGAATCCTTTGGCTAAATATATAGCAAATTGAAATTCTCTCAGTATATGACTGAGCTTTGTCTTCATACTCACTGAACGGCCTTCTCTCTGCAGGGTATGACTGGTAGCCCCGGAACCCCCGGCTCTGATGGCAAAGGTGGACCTGCTGTAAGTATTGGCTTAATAGTAGAACAAGTATCTAATACATGGAGAAGAACTGCAGCTTGTTAACGATCTATTAAGACATTATAGCGGAGTGTTTTTGAGTATTCTCCTGTCTTCTGATGATCTTCAGGGTGCCCCCGGCCAAGATGGAGGCTCTGGACCTGCTGGTGGTTCTGGATCCCGTGGACAGCCCGGAGTTATGGGATTCCCCGGACCCAAGGGAGTCACTGTGAGTTAACGGACCCTTCGTATTGTTAAAGAGAGAAAACTCAAATATCAGATAAGGAAGAAATTGGTGATATCTACTTTAATGTGTGTGTTTTTTAACCCATGACAGTAAAATCTAACAGGAAGTTGTGATGCATAACCCCTGTCATTTAGCAGATGTAAGATTGGCTTGTGTTCTTTTTTAACAGGGTGAGAACGGTAAGGGCGGTGAGAGAGGAGGCGTTGGAGCCACTGGCGCTCTTGTAAGTACTTGTATATTTTTAATACAAATCAAACTCTACTGGAGTTAAATATGAAAATAAAGGTGCAACATGAAAGCAGTTAGTAATTGTTTTGGGTGATGTTTTTGTTCACAGGGTGCTCCTGGCAAAGATGGTGATGTTGGTGCTCCTGGACCTTCTGGTATTTCTGTATGTATCCCGTCTTTTAAACTTAATTTAGACAAAAAAAAGGTAATTGTTTGTATGTTTCTCACCATTGGCTTTGCTTCTTTCTATTCAGGGACCTGCTGGAGAGAAGGGAGAGCAGGGCCCCAACGGACCCCCCGGATTCCAGGTAGGTTTGAGCATTTCAGCATCCCAAGCGCTGACTTTAAATCAATGCTAAATCTCTGATTTGTGGCTAAAATTAACTTGTTTAACCTTAAAATCCTTAACCTTTCCTCCTTTTGCAGGGTCTTCCCGGACCCCAAGGTGCTACTGGTGAGACTGGCAAGCCTGGTGATCAGGTAAGAGTCATAATGCCTGAATCTCTGTAGTGTCCTTACTTGATTCTGCTTCTAAGGTTGCCATGCATGTACACACATATAGTCAGATGTAAAGCACATAGAAACTTTAGAATCTTCAAGATTTCAATTCCTTGTCCATTGTCATTTCCCAGTGTCATGTGGGAGGTTCATTAACTAAATGTTCTCTTTTGTTCAGGGTGGTCTTGGTGAGGCTGGACCCAACGGCCCATCTGGACCAAGAGTGAGTACATTCATCCATGAGAAAGACGCAGCTACTCTGGTCTTTATAGAAACTGGTGATGACCAATGTGTCCCTTCTCTCCTTTAGGGTGACAGAGGTTTCCCCGGTGAGCGCGGTGTCCCTGGCGGTGCTGGCCCAATGGGAGGCCGTGGTTCTCCTGGCCCCTCTGGTAACGATGGAGCCAAGGTACAGTAAAACAAAAAATCAAATTATGAGATGTATTGTACTGGTATAATGAGTGGGGTACTGTTTTCTCATATGGGTCATTCAGACTCAGCTGTGATCAAAGATATGATTAAATGTGGTCCGGTTTATGTGGCTTTCGTATGTTCAGCACTTTTCATATCCATATTGATACACATTTATAGCTGAGATTAATTCATTTTCTAGCACATACACATGTACTAACTGACATTAGAATGGAATACTGTTTTCTTTTCTTTTATATTGCGCACTACATCTTACCTACACTCTAATGTGCTCATCTATTTACATTTAAGGGATATATTTACTGTTCAACCCAGACCTCCTATTAATGTTGCTTTCAATCACTCAAAATCTGAAAAAGCAGCCTTCTGGTAGGGTAGAATCTAAAAAGCATCACAAGACCTAGTGCTAAGAGGAAAATCAAATCCATCCTTTCGTTTTCTTAGCTTAACTGACGTAAAATCATACGCACATTCACCTGTTGTCCACTTTGCATTGCACATTGGAGTGGTGGGCCTGCATCTGATGAATATAATTGATAACAATGTGTATATTCCTGTGTGTGTGCAGGGAGAGCCTGGTGCTGGTGGTGTCCCCGGCGGTAAGGGATCCCCCGGTATGCAGGGAATGCCCGGTGAGCGCGGTGCTTCTGGTTTGCCCGGTGTCAAGGGAGAGAGAGTAAGTATCCCACCTGTCCTGTTTGTCTCTTAAAAAACTGTAAAATCTATATTAACTTAAGGAAATGATTTGTATTATGACAAAAGCTAATAGGAAACAACTTAATTCACTTGTCATTGTAGTTTTTCAGAGCTTGACGGAGGGTAACATTACACTTATTGTGTTAAATTCAGTTATTTTGTCTGATATATAGTTGATTGTTCAAGCTTTGATTATCCTAGAGAGGGGTTCATATGGTTGACCCTGCTTTTCTAAGCAATTGTATTTCACAATATTTTCCCATGCCTAACTTGATCAAGTATTAGGTATTTTCTTGTAAGTGAATGCAGCTGTCCCAGTGTTACATTTCCCTGATAAATAGTCAAAAGTGGGTAAAAGGATGAAATCAAGGAAGGAAATTAATTGATCAGCCAAATAAATGGTAGTAACAGAGTAGTTACATCTCTGGGTTTTTGTAACTATCATTAATAAAGACATAATCACAGGTGGCATTAATACACTTTTTCTCTTCAGGGTGATGGTGGAGTCAAGGGAGCTGATGGTGGTGCCGGAAAAGACGGCATGCGCGGTTTGAATGGTGCTATTGGAGTTCCTGGACCCCCTGGTGCTCAGGGTGAGAAGGTGAGACCCGGTTTGAACTTATTTAAATCATATTGATTCAAGTTCATTTTCTTTTATTGATTATTTTTCTCTTATCATCTCCTCATAATATCACATATGAATACTATATTATGTGGGGTCTATTTTTATACATGATAAAAGTGTTAAGGATGCTGACCTGACCTTCTTCTTCTCCTCTGGTTGCAGGGTGAGGGTGGCGCTGTTGGAACTTCTGGACCCACCGGTATTCGTGGTGCCTCTGTAAGTACACAAACACAAGATAACATTTATATTATTAGATTTGTATCCTACTACACAATGGAGGAAACTCATTGCAAACTTGGATGCAATAATAACTTGAAATGTCCTCTTTCCTTTACCAGGGCGAGCGTGGAGAGACTGGACCTTCTGGACCCGCTGGATTTGCTGGAGCTCCTGTAAGAATCACACATTATATTTGACATCCAAACTGATATTGTTCTACAAATACAGCACAATTTGAGATTAAAGCTGGCTCGTGTCATAGTGTTTCTTCTCTTTCCCTCCGACCTCAGGGTGCTGATGGTCAGCCTGGTTCCAAGGGAGAGAGTGGTGACTCTGGACCCAAGGGAGAAGGTGGTGCTCCTGGACCCTCTGGACCCATCGGTGGTTCTGGACCTCAGGTATGTCAAACAAATGCCTACTGTGGAGAAATCAGAGAAAACAATCAGTCACAATTTCAATAGTTGAAGTTCATATCTTCTATTCCATTTTCGATTTTATGAATGGAAATCTTTTTAACATTTATTCCTAGACCTTATATTAAATGTTCTTTATTGTTGTATTATGTCAACAGGGACCTTCTGGACCCTCTGGACCTAAAGGTGCTCGTGGTGGTGCTGGACCCCCTGTAAGTGTCCCATCCACATTACATTTGTTAGATTTACATGTGCGATAATGAAAGTGATTTTTAACCTCTGCTGTCTCATTGTGTGTGTAGGGTGCTACTGGTTTCCCCGGAGCTTCCGGCAGAGTTGGACCCCCTGGCCCCTCTGTAGGTTTCACATAATCAACATATCCATTAGTCTGTTTGTATATCACCTACATCATTCACTGACCTGAATTTTCTGCATGTCTCCAGGGAGTTGGTGGCCCCCCTGGACCCCTCGGACCCGTTGGCAAAGAGGGAGCAAGAGGAGGACGTGGTGAGTCCGGCCTCGCTGGTCGCCCCGGTGAGATTGGAGGTGCTGGACCCCAAGGACTTTCTGGGGAGAAGGGATCTCCTGGCTCTGATGGACCCTCTGTAAGTTATCTGCAATAAATGTTCTTTTAACAGCCTAAAATGGACTACAGTGATTTTTTTCCTCCACTATGTGTCTGCTAACTGAGCACCGTGTCTTCCTGCGCAGGGAGCCCCTGGTATCCCCGGACCAGGAGGTGTTGTTGGAGAGAAAGGTATTGTCGGTTCCTCTGGACAGCGTGGAGAGCGTGGTGCCTTTGGTCCGGCCGGAGCTGTTGTAAGTATTCACAATCACCAGAGTGCTAAATAAGCAAAAATATCTATAAAATATATTCTTTCTTATCCAATTAGAGCTAAGATATATAAAGACCTAACCTTGGAAACTGGGATATGACATGTTTTCTATTATCTGTAGTAATGATAATCAATAATGTCAGTAATTATTAGTTGTAGCCCTATTTCTCGACCAAGAAGATATAATATTGGATAGATTTTCAAATGAAACATTAATTATAATTACAATAATTTTGTGATAGCCATCAATAGTGTTTCTAATAATTGGACACTAGGTGGATTATTCCTAAAGCTCTCCTCAGAGCTTTCACCTGCATGAAGAGAACTAACCCTAACCCTGTTTTTCTGTAGGGCGAGCCCGGAAATCAGGGACCTGCTGGTGCTTTTGGTGCGCGTGGAACCCCCGGACCTGCTGGACCCCCTGGTCTGTCTGGTCCTACCGGAGAAGCTGGACGTGAGGTACGATGACGCAGCAGGGTCTCACCTACAGATTCACATATTCCTTGTTGGTTAGTGACACCTGTAATACCTGATGAATGTTTAAATGACCATCCTTGCTGCTCTTCCACAGGGATCTGCCGGTAACGATGGTGCCTCTGGTCGCGATGGAGCTGGTGGCCCCAAGGTAACCCACCCCCTCAGGATTCACTTCCATCATTCTCAACCCTCTGATGTGACCTTCTTGGCTGCTTTCATTGTCTAACTGGAGATATGCTTCCTATAGGGAGACCGTGGAGAGTCTGGTACGTCTGGACCCCCAGGACCCCCTGGTGCTCCAGGAGCCCCCGGAGTGGTCGGCGCCTCTGGAAAGTCTGGTGGCCGTGGAGAGTCTGTAAGTCTCCTTCCTGCTCATTTCGAATATTTATAACAAAACTGGCTTTGAAGAAAACGTTTAATCTGATTTTTTTCTACACTCTCTTCTCTCTCAGGGCCCCGCTGGTAATGCCGGCCCTGCTGGCCCTGCTGGTGTCCGTGGCCCCGCTGTATGTACATCTTCACATTACAAGCATAATTTATAAACATTGATTTGAGATATTGCTCCGACTCATAGGCGTATAAAACCTGAAAAGAGCCATGTTGACCTCCTGTTCTTCCATATAGGGCCCTGCTGGTGCAAGGGGAGACAGAGGAGAGGCTGGTGAGGCTGGAGACAGAGGACACAAGGGACACAGAGGATTCACCGGAATGCAGGGTCTTCCCGGCACCTCCGTGAGTGACAGTTTATTAGTGTACACAAGACTGCATCAAACTAATCTAAACTTTTCTCCTTTTTATATTCAAACATTCTTTCCTGAAATGCAAAAGTAGTAATATCTGATACTCACATCTTCTTCTGCCTCTAGGGAGGATCTGGAGAGAGAGGACCTTCCGGTGTTTCTGGACCTGCTGGACCCAGAGTAAGTAGACCTGCAGAAGAAAAAAAACAACAACATAAAAAGCAAAGTCACAACCAATGGGGAACTTGGAGAATTTGCCAGGAGAAGTCTTGTTTTAGCATTTGTCAGTTGTAAAAACCAAACACTTCTAAAAACAACAACATTAAAACCATTTGCAGGACTTTATGTGTTATAATAACTTCCAATTACTTGACTCATTTGGCAGTTTTACACATCAAAACTGTTAGGAACTTTTAGGACTTAATGATATATGTATTGTTTTATTTAGCCTTAGCTCTTAGTCCTATTGAGATCCAAGATAGACTTGGCCAACAACACAGTTTTTTTAATAATTAAAACACATATATCTGAGTTATAGTAATCAGATAAGACATTTGCACAGATAGCCTTGACTCAATATATTTCACCAGTGTTGAACTCATTCAGGGTTGCTATATTTTTAAGTTCAAGCTCAGTCTGCAGGTTGTTCTATGCAGTTGGTGGAAAAAATCTAAGAAAGTATTTCCCCCCCAATTTGTCAGTACAACACATCACCGTAATCAATGACAGGTAGACATCACCAGTTTGACAAAAAAAAACGTGTAGATGTTTTCTTCTCATTAAGTGATCATGCTGCTCTTGTTCCATAGGGACCCTCTGGATCTAACGGCTCCCCCGGTAAGGAGGGCGTCCACGGCGGGGCCGGACCCATCGGACCCCCTGGACCTCGTGGTCGCAATGGAGAGATGGGACCTTCCGTAAGTTGCTCTACCATCTTTGTTATAAGCAAATACATTCAGACACTCTGAATATGAATCTGCAGTTTGTAAACCTCCTTGTGTCTTCGTACAGGGTTCTCCAGGACCTGCCGGAGCCCCTGGACCCCCCGGACCTTCCGGCGGTGGAGGCAACTTCAACAGCTATCCTCGTCAGGAGAAGGGACCCGATCCCCTCCGCGGCGGCCACTACCGCGCTGATGACCCCAACATGATGCGCGATCGCGACATGGAGGTTGACACTACCCTCAAGACCCTGACCCAGAAGGTCGAGAAGATCCAAAGCCCCGACGGTACCCAGAAGAGCCCAGTCCGCATGTGCCGTGACTTGAAGATGGCCCACCCCGAATGGAAGAGCGGTGAGTGCAGATCAGAGCCTGATTCAGCTTGTGGAGATGGATAATAGGGATGAGCTCAGATTTAAACCGCTTTGTATGTTCTTCTGTTACAGACATGTTCTGGGTTGACCCCAACCAGGGATCCCCTCTTGATGCTATCAAGGTCCACTGCAACATGGAGACTGGCGAGACTTGCGTCTACCCCAGCGAGTCCAGCATCCCCATGAAGAACTGGTACCTCAGCAAGAACATCAGAGAGAAGAAGCACGTCTGGTTCAGCGAGTCCATGACTGGCGGATCCCAGGTAAGAAGTTGCAGAATTCAGAATCATCCTTGTGAACTGATCAGACCATTGGATATGTATTTAAGTCAGAGTCATTTAAACCAATGCACCCTTCTCCTTCCTTCGCCACGCAGTTCCAGTATGGCAGCGATGGAGCTGATACCGAGGATGTCAACATCCAGATGACCTTCATGCGCCTGATGTCCAACCAGGCATCTCAGAACATGACATACCACTGCAAGAACAGCATTGCCTACATGGACTCCGCCACCGGCAACCTGAAGAAGGCCCTCCTTCTCCAGGGAACCAACGACGTTGAGATCAGAGCCGAGGGCAACAGCCGCTTCACATACACCGTCAGCGAGGATGGCTGCACGGTAAGTTTGTTCAGGAGCTTGCATTTAGAATCAGAAACATCCACAGTAGATTTTGCACAGTGTTATTTCAAAACAGTGTTGTTACAGTATTAACTAGTGAAATAGCAACTAGCAACAATATTAGACTGTAAACAAGTTTATATAGCACACACAATTATGAAAATGAATATGTAAAATCATCCTTTAGAGACGCAGTTTTTGATTTGTCCTCCTTGTCCTTCTTCTCTACAGTCACACACTGGCACATGGGGCAAGACAGTCATCGACTACAAGACATCAAAAACATCTCGCCTGCCCATCATTGACATTGCTCCTATGGATGTTGGTGCACCTGATCAGGAATTTGGCGTCGAAGTTGGCCCCGTCTGCTTCTTGTAAAAAGAAAGAAATATGGACATGACATTGTTGTTTTTTTTCTAGCAGTCATCTCTAAATCCCTTTTCCTATGCATTCAAAACTCATTCGGCTGCCATTGGCCCACATGCTTTAAAACCACTCTACTGAAGACCATGTTTGTGTTTTTACAATCATGAGAAGTTTTTGGGACTGCTACTTCAACCAAAACCGACCACAAGGACACTTTAAAGATAATCTTTTGTTTCCACTGGCAACAAGAAAATAATATATGCTTGTGTAAAATGTCCCCCTGGAGATTGAGAAAAAAAAAAAGATCCACACACGCAATGAAACACAGGTGACTTTTGCCATTTTCTACCGCTGCGGAAGGACATTGAAAACAACAAGTGATGTGTACCATTTTTCTGGTGTTAAATAAATTGTAAAAAGTGTGAAGTGTCTTTTTGTATTAAATTCTTAAAAGAAGCTCAGACAAAGACCAGCAAAAGAGCAAAAAGCTCACCTTCATTGCAAAACGTAGATGGCTACCTCAAAAACAAGAAATCACCACCGTATTTTTTCTTAAATGAAAAGGGAATATTTTACACAAGTTTATTGTGGGGAAATCAAAAAAACATTCAAAGGTGCTATGACCATTTCATTGAGGTCCAGATATTGGTGTTTGATGGTGAATCTCTCGCTGTCATACTGTAATTATTGCCACTAATGCCTGCAGAACCTCCGGTGCTAAATTGACTCATGTCTTGTTGTCTCTGCAGTGCAATTGTTTTCTTCTTAAGTGTTCTGAAAAGGTGATCACTGCAGATGTAATGCATGCAATCATGTCTTTGTAGATAAAAAGCAAGTGACTAAGTGGTTAAATATCATTCCCCCTGCACATTTGTTCAGTGTTGATCCTTCTGTCTGTTTGCCCACTGTGGAAAACTCCTCTTCACAAAAAAAAAAAAACAGCACACATCTCCCACCCTGTTGTTTATGTTGTTTGTTGATGTCTTTCGCGAAGGGTTTCTTAAAAAATAATTTGAAGCAGACCCACTTTCATGGTTTAAAATAGAGATTCTGTACTTATTTTGTACATGTATAATAAATTGAGATGTTTTTAATTATTTTGGGTGCTGAAATAAAGCATGTGAAGTGGTCTACTCAGTGGCTGAGTTTTCACTGTCCTGATTTGCAACTGTTGTGAAACTAAAATCAGGTGTTCAGATTTTGGGTAATAATTAATACACTTAAGCTGCATTGCACATTCTGTAGTTGGAAACACATCAAAAAAACAATTAAAATAGGGTTCAGGATCAACTGTTCCACTACAGTTGCACTGAGTACATTGCTATTAAGCAGCAGTGAAAACAACACCAATATATAATAATCCAACCTGGCTTTTTCTTATCAATACACATACATTCGCTGCTGATTTGAATCAGAATATATTTAGAAATTTGAGCTAAAACAGTATAAAATGAAAGTGTTAACAAGACACGTATCCATTGCATTAAATATCACTTTACATGTTTTGATTTCCCCCCCCAAAAAATAGGGAATTTGCATGAAATTGACAAGGGAGGACATGTTTGTTGAACCAAAAATATTCCCATATTAGATGAAGGTAAACCAGCGGCCCCTGCTGGATATTCAATGCAACAATAGTCGCCGAAAGGGAAGTTTAAAACGGAATCAAAACAATAAGAAACCTGCTGCTGCACTGCCCTCTGGTGGTTTCATGTGGTCAGGTCTCACTGCCTCAACACCAAAACCAGATAAAATATGTCGCCCTCTGAGAAAAGATTGAAGAAATATTATTTTATAGCGATATAAAGATGATTTGAATGCAATTGAGCAGTGGGTCTTAAATATTATGGAGTTTGACCCTTTAAAGCAACACAAACAAACAAAGGTAGCTCATGAACATATGCAAAATGAGCTGATAATCTGATTTGAACCAAAGTGACAATAGGTCCAAAGAGGTCAAATTATATCAGAAAAATAGATCACAGGAGGAATACATCGAAACCAAACCTTGCTCAAGTTGCCAAGAATCTCCGATATGAGTGCTTCTCCGTTAACATCCACTAGTACTGAAGAATGTCTGTAAAAGCCTTTAAAATAGATTAACAATGCTTCAAGTCTGTCTTAAAACAATAGTAAGGTGTCCATTAGAGAATAAAAACACTTGAGAAATAGTGGAAATCTCAGCCTTTGACACAACAATGAAGAATGTGACTTTTGATCTTTTTTTATTGGCAGTTAAAGATGGCGGAAAAAACAAAGTCATGAACAGCAAATAACAACTTTACAAACTATTATTTTACTTTCAGAAAAAAAGAAGATTTACCACTGCAAATATATAACCATAGACTGTATGAATGACACTCAGAGTAACACAGGGAAAGGGTTAGGGTTTATCCATCTTCTCATTTCCTGGAAAAACAAACAACGTAATGAGTTAATGTTCTTGAAAACATTCAAACATTTTCAAGATTATTCTTCAATTATAGAGAAGAATGAATGCAGTGTTGTATGAGGAAGTCACTTGAGTGGTTTTACCTGGGCAGCGTGTCGCTGTATGGATCACTACGAAAACAGGAGAACAAAAACAAATCAGCAAAGCTGAACATCGATATACAAAGAAGTAATTATTTTTGAAGCTGGTATGACAATAAAGCATCAGTGGGAGTGGTCCTTACTGCTGGGCCAGGATGAGGGGGATGCTGGGGCTGTCACCCCGCAGTGGGGCCCGGTCCAAAGTGCGGCTGTTGAACATGGGCAGTGTGGACAGAGGAGAAGCAGAACTACGCTGTCCCGCCATGTTCCTCAGCTCGTCAGTGTTCCCGTGGATGGTGTGGTGGTGGTACAGCTGAATCCTGCAGCAAACAAAACAACACATACAGCATTATGTGCTTTTTCTAAAAAATTATCCATGGGTTCGTAGATAACGCTTAAAAAAACAAGTTTTTCAGCCTTACATAATATGTTTTTTTACAAAAATGTATTATAGATTGAAAGGCAGAGTGAATAGGTGAGTTATGAGGGCTTTTTTGAAAGATGCTAAAGTGTTAGCCTTTCCCATGTGATTGGGGAGGGAGTTCCAGAGGGAGGGGAGGCTGCAGCAAAGACCCTGATGCCCGGAGCTTGTTCCTGATTGGCTGTAGAAGATGGGATGTGTTGTGTGATAAGGTCACAAAGGTAGGGGGGGCAAGATTGTTGATGGCTATGTAGGTGAGAAGTCAATGCGGTATTTGATGGGTAACCAGTGGAGGTCATGGAGGATAGGTGGTCGGAGCGCCAGGTGGAAGTAAGCATGCGGGCTCAGATTTGGACATATTGTAGTTTATTGAGGATGTGTGCAGGTGAACCATAGAGGATGGTGTTGCAGAATGACCTCGTACCCATGGTTAGCGTCTTGAAGGATTTTAGTCATAGGACGAATGGATCTTTAGTTAGATGATTCATGTGAAAGTACATTGTGTAAAGTCTGTATTCAATCAGAGAACAGAGAAAAATGTACTTACTGGTTCGTTCTTGCATTCCTCTTTGTACTATGAGAAAAAGAGAAAAATGTCACCTCTGTGTCACAGAATATCAGGATCAATCAAGGGCTTGCCTTAAAGGGTCAGTTCACCTACAAAACAGAAATGTGTGTATTCCCCCTCCAGTGGTACATATTGCATTGTTGTGATGGCATGAATGTCTACAAGGGGAATGTTTTTTTTTATTTGGCCAACTTAGCATTATATGTATATTATTATTTATATATTTTGTTTTCAACAGATTGATGCATACACTCCCTCTCGTCTGCCGAACATGACGTAGGCCAGCAGGAGACACAGGATGATGGCGAGGATCAGCGGCACGATCACTGTCACGATGTAGTCCGGGAAGAAGTCTCTGCTCGGGGGAGACTCGGGGGGGTTGAAGTCTCCTCCGTCCTCCAGAATCCCCGAGCCCACGGGAGGAGCGGGCGGAGCCGTTGCCTGCTTAGTCAGATCGAACTGTGGGAAAAAGGAAGGGAAACGTCAAAAATGTCTTTTGGACAAAATGTGTGTGATTAGTCATACATTTTGTTGATTATTGATTGATTGGTAAAAAGAATTTCAAGCAGAAAGTCAAAAATGTGATGGTTCCTGGTGCCCTAGTACATTTTAATGGGATTATTATACTATGATCTGATGTTTTATAGATAAAACAATTATTCAATAAAGCAAAAACATTATTGCAGCACCAAAGAGTTCAGGACCTCTCTAGTGGGTTACAAGTTGAGGGCTTTGCTTTTTCTTTTTTTGTAAAAAACTGGAGGAATTTAAATCTTCAGACCTCAAGAAATACAATTCTTTATTTTCAGAAATACAATTCTTTAGCAATCAGAACATATTTTGGGGTTTATTTTAAATATGTTACTTGGATTAATTGCCTAACATGGTACAAGGTTCACATGTTTAAAATTATAATTATAATATTTATAATAATACCTTTTATTTGGAGGTGCCTTTCAAAACACCCAAGGACACCTTACAATTCATAATTGCTTATCTTTCTCTTTTAAAGGTCCCATGTCATGGCCATTTCTACTGATCATAATTCCATTGTTGAGGTCTACTAGAATAGATTTATATTGTTCAATGTTCCAAAATCACATTGGTTTCTCATACAGCATCTCTGTATAGTATGTGTATTCACTCTCTGGGTGTTTCTCAATCGCGAGTACGCTTGCTTGGTAGCACATGTCTGCCGAGCATCTTGCTTCAGAAGCGAGGCAAGAATACTTCCTGGCATTCGGAACACAAAGAGTGGAACAGGCTAGCAAGTGTGCAGGTGTGCGTCATATGAGAGGCCCCGCCTTACATCTTCCGCCACAGATTTGGGGAAATTGGTCCGTGCGCAAAGCATTGTGGGGATTTTAAGACCGCGGAGTCTACTCATGTGCAGCCTCGATATTTCTCCAAACGGAGTACGCCGGGCTCGGTAGAATTCCAAGTATGCTGGAGATTGGAACAGTACTTCGGCGGCACTCAATGACGTAGTATGCTTGAAATAGTGGCTCTGAAGCAGCTTTACTCGCGATTGAGAAACACTCTCTGTCCTAAACGGCTTGTTGGAGCTCCTGCCCCCCCCCCTCCCTATGAGCCCAGTGGCCGTCTGCGAGACAGAGAGACACAGCGAAACCCATCCCGAAACCAGCCCGAACACACACACACCCGCAGCCTGGCTGGGAGTTTGTGTGTGTGCTCATACACCGACTCACAGCCTCGCCGCGTCCCGCCGTCTCAGGGAGGAGAAATCGGCGGAGCTGCAGCTGAGAAAAGATTGAGTGTGTGTGTGTGTGTGAGGAAGTCCGCCGATTGGTCCATTTGGACCAATCCGCGGACGTAACGTAACGGCTCCACGGATTGGTCCATTTGGACCAATGGGTCCATTTGGGTATGGGCACGTCACTGTACCCAGGAAGAAAAAGAGAAATCTCCAACGAGGCGTTCTGGGGCAGCATAGACAGGTCTTTTCTGTGTTAGAGTTTTACTCGCTACAGGGTGTACTTTGAGGGTTTGTGACTTTGCAGACCGTTTACATGCAGAAAAAGCTTCATAACACACAAGGGGACGGGTAATAACCGGAAAAGCATTAAATGGGACCTTTAAATAGTAAAAACAATGTTTTTAATTCACTTTTAAATATATAAGAGACAAGCATAATGACAAATTATCATTCTTAATGATAAATATATTTGATAAATTTTTAGAGCCCAAGTTAACAAGTTAAAGTATATATTTTATCATACTAAAAAAGCAAAATGGGGAAAAAAAAGGATTTAAAATACTGTTTTGTATTTCTTATTCCCTTAATCCTACTGTCATTCCATAGAAATAATAAAAATATTTTCAAACTAATCCAAAACCCTGACATTTAAAGAGAATGACCTTTGCATACAAGTTTACCATGTCAAGTTTCCATAAAACTGGATCGCTAATTCTTTATATTTTTTAATAAATAAAGAATCGTGTCTTTTCAGGCCTCACCAGCTCCGTCTTGCACCAGGTGATGCAGTTGCTGGGAATGCTGCAGAAGTTACATTCTCCGGGGACCTTGACCTTGGCCCCAGCTGTGCACTGCTTTTCATGCTCTGCTGTCAGCACCCTCAGGAGACAAT